CCTAGTTCCCATTACTGTTTTAAGAGCTAATAGATTGGAGAAGTGATTGGTGAGTTACCTGTGAGGGAGTAGGAGCGACGGCGTAACCGAGATCGGAGGCGATGGAGAGAGCATCAGAGAATCCGCCGATGCGTCTGATCGGTTTCTTCCCCACCCACGTCGAGTCACTTCCCATCGACATCTCTCGACAAGCTTTCCGGTGATAACTTCGATTCCGAATGTTTTTTTGTTTGTTTGTTGGTAATGAATGAACTTTCATTTTCTGTAAACTAACCTGCGATTTCGGTTTATTCCGGTCAATAGTTTGGATAGTACTTTTTTTTTAATCTGAAATATCAATTTGGTTCGGTTCTCAGTTATTTCAGTTTGTCTGAAATCTCATCATATTGAATTTGAACCAAATATCAATTTGGTTCGGTTCTCAGTTATTTCAGTTTTTGTTTTTCCTAAATGAAACTAGTACTTTAGATTCTGATTCTTGATAAAAACTTGAATATTGCATTTAAATTCAGTCATTTGATTAAATTCAGTCATTTGAGTTAGTTCGGCTATTTCAGTTAATTCGGTCTAAAATATAATCAAAACATTCTAAAAATTTATAATAACTGACTACCAAATTCAAATCAATTCCAAACCAAAAACTTGATCAGTTTAGCTCGTATGGTTCATGTAGAATTTATGGTTGAGATTTTTTGGAGGGTATTATGGTAAGTATATGAACTAGTAGTTAACAATCTTCAAATATACGAGTTATTGTAGTTTCTTATATGGATTCAACATTTTCTTAAACTGAAGTTTTAGTTGCAATTTTTTCATTTGTAAATTTTTAAGTTGATTTAGCCGTGTTCAAGTTTGTTAAAAGTGGTTTTACAAAGATGATAAATTGATTCAATCTAAAGTATGTCAAGTATTATATTAGACGTTATTGTGGTATAGGAACTTATATATGTTCATCTTCAGCTGACAAAAAGAATTGTTTATATTCGAACTCACATAGAAAATCGTTTTAGTACTTTGCTAATATATAATCAAAGTTCCTTGCTCAATTTCAGTGCACAAGAACTTCAAAGTTTTATATAACAGTTGTGATATGTCATATATTTTCAATCAATTTATTAAGAGATAACTATAATTTTATACTTTTTACTATGGGAAAATTATTCTTATATACTTATTGGGTTATAGCTCAAAGTTTGTTTTAGTCCGTCTTATTTTGGTTATAACTCAAAAGTTGTTTTAGTTGGTTTTATTTGTTACATGTTAGACAGTCTCTTTTTAGATGTTTAAGTCATCTTTTACACATTTCTATCATGTGGATGTAAAAAAATAACATAAGACTATTGGGTATACTGTAAAACGACATTTTTTATTGAAAATTTTCTTACATATACAATTCTTAGTCCAACATTAAGGAAAAACACAGTTTAATTGTGTTTAGGATTAGTACTTTTAATTTTGATGGCTATAATTTAGGATTTAGTGATATAGAACTTTGTGTTTAGTGTTAATATTTATGGCTAGTGTTCTATTTATGTTAAACGATGTCATCAGATGCTATCATTTCTCACAGCTGCAATTTTGGATTTACCAATTCGATATGTTGTTGACGTTCAAAGAAACTGTGGGTCGTAGCTTCGTTGGAAGACAATCGAGGACTAATTCTAAGGTTTATTGAAATTTTAATCATGGTGTATCCCTTTCTATTCCTTGCATTGACATACACATTTTTCTACATCATTGATTCTGCTTCTTTATCCTATTTCAAGTACATATTGCTGAGCTGGTATCTATTGTATTTGGGTTGAGTATGGTCTCTTCAGTGATATTTTATATATCACCAATAACCTTTTGTGTATGTCTTGCTTAATTTGGGTTGATCATTAGTGCTATCACCATTAGCTATTTCTGCTTTTCGTGGTGATACTTTTGAGAGAAGCACAATAAAAAGAAATGTAGTTTCTAGTTAGTATCAGCGAAAACAAATTGACTTGTGTATATGTTTTTTTACTGATTGCACATATTTATTGTTGTTATGATTCCCTAGAGCATGTCCAACAATGAGACCAAGAAGGAGAATTAAAAAAAAAATCAAAAATTATGCAAAAGAATAAAAGAGAATTCTCTGCAAAAAAGTTTTTAGAAACAGGCTCTTACCAATATCATGTATTTGTATGCTTTAAAAATTTAGAAAAAAATGAAATATAATTCTTTATTAAAATATTATTTTGATCTTAGAAAACTTTGGCAGTTTCTACTAATAAAACTGCTCTCATAATTGAATATATGTTTCTTTTTAGTTCTAATAGCACCACCTGGCTTTTACGAGATCTACTATAAATATATCCATATTTTGAGATTCTCTTTCCGTAAACCGAGAAACCAATATTCAGTCGGAAAATATTTTAAAATATTAAATAGAAATCATGGAACTATAGTTTAAAACAAAAGACCAAAACCAAAAATGGTAACCCAACAAAACAAACACACAAACCACTGTAGTAGTAGAAGACAACAAAAACAGTTTAGTAGAACTTAACTGGTACATCAAATCAAGCACAAGGAGAAAGATTCACGTGGCACACGTGTTGGCTGCTTACAGAACCATCTAAGGAGAAGTTAGAATGACTTCCACCTTATAAAAAAAGGTATAAGACCAAAGAAACATGATGTAGAAACTACAGCCAGAAGTACACCAATATAGATAATGATACTATATGGATAATCCAACAAGTGCAATACACTTATTTCCACCAGTTTAAACGTTATGGATTATATTGTTAACATAGTCTATTACAACTACATCATTGCAAAAGTGACCCCCTTGTTACTTTCATTATCATCAACCAGAAGATACGTATATATGTCTTCAAGTTTCATGTTTAGTCGACCCAACTTTCTTTTCACAAGATCTAAAAGTAGATGCTAAATTTTTTCTAGCCATATTTTTTTTCACATGTAGTAGGACTATTCCAGTGTGTAGAAACTTTAATAAAATGACAAAGTTTTGAATTGTTTGGGTTATAAAGGCCTAAGAAATACTCCCTCGATAATACAACATTCATATTAAATCCTAAAACAATGGTTGGTTTAAGGAGTCATCTCCAAGAAATTATGGAATAAAAATGGAACACATAATGAAAAAGATTCAAAAAGAAGAAGGATATTCCTAATAATTTGATGAAACCTTGTAAGCGAGGACAAACAGAGATCCCACAATATGGCTGATAACCCCAAAGAATGTGACACAACTCTGGTCTTTAAAAGACGTTCTCACAAAACTTTCCACTAAACCAAGGGAAAGGTATAAGACATAGGCCTATGACATCGTTAAACATGATGAGAGAGCTCCTTGTATAGAAAATCTGAAAAGTTAGCAAAGTGTTTGCAATGATGAGCAAACTATGTATCACAGTTGACTAGACTACTCCGAAAGTCATCTTGCAATTTACACAAAATTTGGATATGTATTAAAATCACATTAATCTTGCTTTCTAAGAAAGAGATAAACAAAAGACACTCACCTGAAAATAGATCTTAGTCCATGTTTCCACGTATCTTGTCTCTTTATGAGAAAACCATCCATCTACAAAACAAATTAAAGAAGCTTAGTATATTAAAATTGCTGAGTAGGCTATTCTCGAAGTTATGTTGCAATTTACACAAAATTGAGACATGTATTAAAACTTGCTTCCTAAGAAAGAGATAACCAAAAGACACTCACCTGACGATAAATCTTAGTGTACGTTTCCATATATCTTGTCTCTTTACGAGAACGTCATCAATCTACAAAACAAATTAGAGGGTACAACATCGAATTAATGACTCCCTTAGTTCAACACTGAAAATCAAAAGATAAGAGCTTATCAACTAACTCACCGGCAAGAGTATAGCGACAGCAATAAACATAGCAACACAAGAAGTGGCTTAGAGCTGATCGCGCAATCCGTTGTTCTGAGTTTTAATGAAAAGTATCATCACATACGTATTTATATGTAAATAAAATATTAAAAGTGACAAAAAAAATCCAAATAGGAAAAAGAGTTGCGAAAGTATCGTGGAATTGTAAATTTGTAATTAACTTTTTAAAAAAATTATGTATTTTATAGTTTTAGGATTTAGTTTTTTTTTGTCAAGATATTTAGGAGTTGGATTGTTTTCTAATTCTTCAAATTTTATTTACCACAATGAATCAATGATTAGGGGAAAGTAACAGTTCCTCTTTTACCGAAAAAAGTAATAGTTTCTCTTTATCAGAATTATGTTTCATAATCAGAATATTATAACCGTAGTTTTGCATGTATTTACCCTCTGTTCAAACAGATTCGTTTTGGCAGCTCTACCCTCCTGATCAAGTTTCTCACGGCGTTCCTAAGCTGCTTATACTTGAACTACTGGATGATAGATTTACCGGAAGCTTGTGCACCAAGTAGCAGAGGTGATGCATACGGAAGAGAATGGTGTTGTGGATTTCAGAGTTTCACTGAGGCCAGCCACTTAATTGGTAGATGTAGCTCCATGAGTTGTGACCAGACCGGTGGTGTTATCGCACCAGACTCTAATTGAAGTAGTCAGTTTGGCTCCCGCCGCTGGAATCAAACTCGTTCTTGAACTGCCTAAGGCCTTTTATATGGTTCGGACAGCGTGCAACAAGACTTACTATACTATCATGACAACACGGACTCATTGGACTGGATACGTTTGTGCTTCGTAGCCTTAGTGTTTTTTTTGTTTTTTTTTTTTTTTTTTTTTTTTTAGGATTG